AGGCTGATTCTGCTAATGTTGTAGCTGTTTTTCAGGACCAATTGGATGACTATATAGAGGAGGCAAGAGGTACTGAGAGACCATCATCACCTGACATGTCGTCCCTCCCGCCTTTGCCAAATTCTGATGAGAACTCCGAGGGGGAGGATGGAGATGGAGGGAGGGGTGATGTGATGGAGTGGAATTATGAAGGCCGGGCTCAGAGATAAACATTTTCTTAGCTCACCAGAACAGCGTGGGAAGAACAAGAGGATGAAACTGGCACCTCCCTGAGGAATTCACACTGTTGTGACTGGCTGACTTTGGGAACTGGGGTTTCAGTCTGGGAAGATTCTTGCTAGAGGTTGTAGCTAATAAACTGGACTGAATTTACATGGTCTCTCGGAGTTCCTTGGGCTAGGCCTTGACATGAAGATACATAATGGTCATATCATGCCATGGGCCCAGCCATAGATGCCAAACCGAATGTGATTGAACAAAGTGATGATCAAACAAGAAAACACTTAACACTCATTTATTGTGGTTCACACAGTGTATTACACTGAGGTTTGTTAAATAAGATACAATAGCTGCAGTAACATAGTCCTAAATCAGTGATTTGCAAACTTAATACAACAAGCTAAGTCAAAACTAAATAAACTATTGCAGCATTTAAAATTACAGGACTTAACACAGAGACCCAAGAAAACATAAGGCAGACAATCATATCACAGATCAGAAGAACACAGCATCAGCACCAGCTCAAAGCAGAGAAGAGAGCAGCCCTCAAAAACCTAGGGAAGGACCAAACCATCATCATCCTCCCAGCAGACAAATGCTGAACCACAGTTGTTATGGATAAATCACAATACTTGCAAAAAGCCAAAAAGTTATTAGAGGACAAAGAAACCTACATCCCACTTTACACCAACCCAATTCAGAAACTACCTAGACAACCTAACCAAGAAAGGCCAGATCACAAAAGAAGAACAGTGGCGGATGAAAAGCAGCAGACCCATCCTCCCACGTTTCTATGGATGACCAAAAATACATAAGCCTGACATACCTCTTTGACCAATTGTATCTTTACCAGGGACTCCAACATACAACATAGCGAAAGAACTGACAAAAAAGCTTGAACATCTCACAGAGAAGAGTAAATATTCTATCAACTCCTCACTACAGTGCCTCCGGAAAATCAAAGATGTACACATAGATGAAGATGAAATTATGGTCTCATTTGATGTCATAGCACTCTTTACATCCATAAACCCAGAGCTAGCGAAAGAATCCATGTCAGCAGTACTGCACAACACACCCGACCTAACCAAATAGACCCAGATCAAAATACCCCAAATCATGGACCTCATCAACCTCTTCCTCACTACCTATTTTCAGTTTGATGGACAAATATACCAACAAATCAGAGGCACACCCATGGTGACACTGTCAGGACTCATAGCAGAGATTGTAATGCAACACCTAGAAACTCTAGCACTTCCACACATACACCTTAAAGTATGGATCCGGTAT